TTTTTAAGTATGCTTCATGCCCAGCATGAGGCCCAATCTGGAGGTTGAACTCACAATGTGAGATCAAGACCTGAGCTGAGATCAAGAGTCAGATGCTCAACCGACTGAGCCACCCAGGCACTCCCCTTTATTTTTTCCTGTAGGGATGGTTTAGTGGTCATGAACTCCCTTTATTTTTTCTTGTAGGGTTGGTTTAGTGGTCATGAATTCCTTTAGTTTCTTTGTTTGAGAAACTCTTTATCTCTTCTATTCTAAATGATTGCCTTGTTGGATAGAGTATTCTTGCCTGCAGATTTTTTCCTTTCAGCACTTTGAATATATCATGCCACTTTCTTAGGGGCTGCAAAGTTTCTGCTGAAAAATCTGTTCATAGCCTTATGAGGTTCCCCACATATGTAACTGTCTTCTCCCTTGTTTTTAATTTTTTTCTTTGCTATGTCTCTTGGTGTGGGCCTCCTTGGTTTGATTTTTTTGGGGGGACTCTCTATGCCTACTGGATATCCCAGATTAGGGAAGTCTTTAGCTATTATTTCTTCAAATTAATATTCTGCCCCGTCTTCCTACTCTTCTTCTGGTATGCCTATAATGTGAATGTTATTATGCTTGTTGGAGTCACTGAGTTCCCTTAGTTACTTTCATTTTGCATAATTTTTTGCTCTCATTTTTTTCAGCTTGATTACTTTCCATTACTTTGTCTTCCAGGTCATTAATTCATTCCTTTGCTTCATCTTGCCTGCTATTTATTCCATCAAGTGTATTTTTAATTTCATTTATTGTGTTCTTTATCTGTGATTGATTCATTTTATCTCTTTATTTTTTTTAAAGATTTTATTTATTTATTTGAGAGAGAGAGAGAATGAGAGATAGAAAGCACGAGAGGGAAGAGGGTCAGAGGGAGAAGCAGACTCCCCGCTGAGCAGGAAGCCTGATGTGGGACTCGATCCCGGAACTCCAGGATCATGACCTGAGCTGAAGGCAGTCGCTTAACCAACTGAGCCACCCAGGCACCCCATTTTATCTCTTTATTAAGGGTCTCACTTATGTTCTCCACTCTTCTCAAGTCCAGTAGGTATCTTTATGATCACTACTTCAAATTTTCTATCACACTTATTACTTATATCTGTTTCACTTAGGTCTCTTGCTGTGGTTTTGTCCTATTGTTTCATTTGGGAGATATTCCTCTGTGTCCTCATTTTGTCTAAACCTCTGTGTCTGTTTCTGTGTGTTAAGAAAGTCAACTACATCTCCTGTTCTTGAAGATAATGGCTCTATGAAGAAGGGGTCCTGTAGTTCCCCGCAGTGCAATATCCCCTGTTCCCCAGGATGTGGTGCTTCAGGGAGTATCACCTACGTATGTTGCATATGCCCTCCTGTTAAATCCTGGTCACTTTTTCCTTCAGTTTAGTTGTCTGCAGAGCCTTTCTTTGCCTATTATGGGCAATGTTTTGTCCCCAACGGGTGGAGCATGTTTTAAGAAGGTGTGCACCAGTCTGTTTGAAAAATGAGACCTGCTGCTGCCACTGTCACCAGAACTCAGTTTTCATAAAGCTCGTGGGTTGGGAGACAAGTTGTTGATGGGGTTTACACAGGTCTTCCGGGGAAAGGAACTTGCAGCACTGGAACTGAGGCAAGAGTGACTGGGAAGGGCAGATCTGCTGAAACATGTGGACATGATGCCTGCTGTAAGCAAATTAGGTAGAGATTGTTGGCACTGAGCTTGTTCTCTCAGGTGGCTGTGGGTTCATGCTGAAGTGCAGAGAACGTAAATGTCATTTGCCAGCTACTTTGTTCCTGGAAGGGTCTCCCCATGATCCCTGCCTTTCTGGACCACACTTAGATGAGTAAATAGCTCTCCTTCCTGTCTGCCTCTGGCACTTTTCAAACACTGCTTCCAGGCTCTAGTCCCCCTGGCTGTTTGTTGTGCTCTCTCTTTAAGAGTTGGGACTTAGCTTCCTGATGCCCTTCAGGCTCATCCAGAGCTAACCCTGATGACTTTTAAAGTTCTAGGCTTTAAGTCCTGCTTCAGTATTCATGAAATTTGGCCCCTCTCACTTTCTTGTTTTCAAGGCTAAATATTTTGTGGATTTGTGTTCCTCATGCACACTCCCCAGTGTGATAGTGTGTTTCTCACTCTTCTCTGTGCCACCAGCTTTCTCCTGCACATGGACTGCCATGGTCGATTTCACTCCCAAATCACATCTTCACCCTTCTTACCTTTTTTGATGTAGCCTCTTCTCTACTTTTTGTGGAGTTTTTTCTGCCAATCTTTGCATCATTTTTTGGGTTATATACACTTATGTGAGTGTTATCTAGTTGTATCCATGGGATGAGGTGACTTTATGACTTACTCTGCTATCTTCCCCATTATTTCCTCTCCAGATATGGGAAACTGTTATCTAAAGCAATTAATATTCACTAGTTGTAACACAAAAGGAATTGAAATCACAGTTCACTCTTCTTAAAGAATTATTTGTTCCACTATTGTTCCAGGAAGGATGGAAAATCATTTAAAATGCTGCATACTATAGCAACATAATATAAATAAATGTTATGTGTAAAATAATAAAGAGAAAATGAGCAAGGACATAAAAATAGATCCATGAAAGATGATAATAAAAATTACCATAAAAAGATCTCCAAACTTGCTACCAGTAGACTGTAAATTTGTTCTAGGTTTTTCAGCAGACTATATAAAAAAGACATATGTGACCCAATTATTAGTATCCATAAGAATCAAATCAAATCAAACCAATTGCTTAAGAAATATTTAGTTATTCATAATACTAAAATCAGGTAGTAGTCTTGTGTCCTCCTAAAAAACACAGTATATTGTAATGAATAATGTCCTTAACAATAGCTATCACTCCTAATCTACTCATACTATTAAAGAATACCCAAAAGACTTTAAAGCACCAACTCATAAATTTACCCCAGCCTAGGGAATATATGATGTATCAGTTAAAAATACACATTGAGAGGATATATACAGAGAAGAGAGGAGCTCAGAACTATGGGCAAAAGAGGAAACATATACTATTTTTTAGACTCTTATGACTGAATATTTATTACTTTGAATTGATATTGATTCCTACACTGTCAGTCATATTCAATAACCGAAAGCTCTCTTCAAAATGTTAATTGGAGATGATTCAGTTATCAGCTTTTTTGGTTTGTCCACAGATTTACTCCTTTTAATTAATACTCAAAACTTTATCTGAGTTGCAATTGTCTTTGTCTGAACTGGGTCACTGACTTCTGAACAACTTTTACTTCCCTTTTTAGGACCAATGAAAAGAGAGGATACTTGCATGCAAAAGAGAAATGAGGTAAGCTGGTAGGTTTTCTTAGTAATGTTAAGGTTTTTTTTTTTTTTTTTTTTCTGTGAAATGAAGGTGGGAGGTAGTGACAATAGCTAATTATCAGGAAAAGGATCTTTTTCTCCTTCTGTCTCAGGGTTTGGCTTTAAAGCTCAACAAGTCTAGAAATTTCTTTGTCCAGAAAATAATCATACCCTAAGAAAACTGGCTCACAGTGGGCCCAAACTCACAAAAGAGGTATTTTTATGAGATTTTAATAACTTGCAGTGAGGAACAGAACTGCCAAGTGGACTGAAATGTGTGTTGGACTGTCAGCGTATTCTTCTTTTAGGAAGGGGTCAAGTCAGAAAACTAAATTGACAACAAAAAGCTGGATAAATATATGAAGTCAGAATTAAGAAGAGAATTGCAAGGTCAAGTGTATTTCATTTGATATACCTCAGCCAGGATGGGTATCCTTTCTCTTTGCCAGTCCTCACAAGTCATGGTCTTTTCATAAAGCAGTTCAAATTCTTAGTTTCTAGTGCTGAGAGTGTGTCTTTTCCAACTCTTGATAACCTTGAAATTTGTATTAGAAATCTCTGAGTGTTAGGCATGACTTCATATAGTTCTTGACTGGTTCTGGTTTTATAAGGAGAGCTTGTTGCAGATTTAGGTTGCCCTCCTACAAAAATGTTGTCATCCACTTTCTTTTTTAATTAGTTTAATCCACAAATTAAAATGCTACTTTTCAACCTAACCCATTGTACTTTCTTGTTTTCCCTTTGCTATGGTTATTACCCAGAAGGCTCTTTGCAGCTCTTGGCCCTGGGTTCTGAATGTGGTTCTCTTACATGCCCACAAAGGTTTGTATGCTTTGCAAGCTTTGTTTGTTTCATAACTATTTTCAGATTTGGCCAACACTATAATCCCCAGGTGTATATTTTTTTCCTTTATTTGCACACTTATAAGGTCTCATAAACATTATGCGTGAAGACCAAAATCTTAGTACACTGGAGAGAGACTCTGTTATCAGCACTATTTATTTATTTATTCATGCATTATTTGAACATTTAGTTTTTTCATTCATTGCCTCACTTATTCATTTAACAAACACAAAAAGTCTTTGTGCTAGACTAACTGGGAATACAGAGATGAGTCAGACATGATTTTTGCCCTAAGTTTGCAGTATACACAGAGGATAAACCATCAACAAAGATAACTAAACTACACATTAAATTATAAGCTTTGGGATGAGAGGTTGAGGGAAGAACATGACATATGGAAAGAAGAGTATAGCAAACCTTGTTCCACTGCTGTTAGTTCTGACTTATATTTTTGAGGTTTCCTCACCCTATGATCTCAGGCTTGAAGGAGTTGCAATTTTCTTGTTCTAAAGTAAACTCTCTTCATATTTTGCCTCAGAATCCTATCTTGCCACGGAGATTCTAGTGAGACAGATAGACATGTGAGTTTTGGTGGAAAGAGATAGGGTGAAGAACAGAAAGGAAAGCTAGTATGCAGTTATTATTTGATTTTGCACAGACTTTGGCTCCAAACTCCAAATTTCTCTGTACAAATGAAATAAAAATGAGATAAAACTTGAGTACCGTCATCTGCTCAAGGGACTTACCTTTGGTTTGTGCAAATAAGGTTTCTGTGGTGAGACACCAAATGAACTCAACTTCCTCTTTCAACAACATATTTTTCAGATATCAGCAGGATCTGTGCCACCCAGAGTTAGGCTTTTTCACCCTCAGCTCCCTGCAAAGAAACAAGAGTGCTAATCCTGACAAGGCTCCAGGGTAAGTTACAGCCTAGTATCTGGGAATTGGTGGTTCCATGTGGGAAGATTAGTGTGGGCATGAAGATCCAGGATAGAGGAAGATGCGGGAACATTGTTCAAATGGAAAATGGTTCCTGGTTTCTCATTTCAGACTTCTTACAGCAGGATCAATGGTGATTGCCCTTGAGTCTAACTAAAGTACAACAAAGTCAGTTAATGCCATCAGTCCCCACCATTACTCAAGGAGCATAGAGTATGTGATGCAGCTCACTCTTTTCCGAGGGCTCTTTGTTTCTCCACCACCAGGGAAGAGAGCACAAAATGTTAAGAAAACTGTGTTTGTGAGACTCACTGGGACAACTTGGCATATACAGCCAGAAAAAGAGTATTTGAATTTTTACTCTGTATAATTTATCTAGTTTCATAATGAAGGAAAAGTTTGTGTATAAGCTTCTTGCTTTGGTAAGTTTAGCTTTCACATATACAGAAACAGTAAGTTCTTTCAAGATAGAAGGAATCAGATCATAGATTTTGGAGTTGAAAGATCTCTTAGAGATTCAAATCCACCACAATACAGATGGGGAAACTGAGAGCCAGTGAAGCAAAGACACTTGATTTCAGACAAATGTAAAAGTAAAGACAAATGATTTAAGAGTGTTTTCAGAGGTGTTTCTTGATCCTTTATAAGTTGCTTTGTTGACCCAAGTTTAGCCCTGCTGGATAGCAGAGCCCTTAAGAGGCATGTATCTTTCAAGTGAATTTTTGTTCTTATTACTCTGAGTGCTAGCAACCTCTCTAGTTCTGAGCCATGATGACTGAGTCAAAAGGAAACTTCTGCTGGGGAGTCCTTAAGGGTGGACTGTGCTATGCTTCTTGGAACCAAGATGATTCTGAGTAAAATAAAAAGCTTTGTTGTAATTTTGGTGGAGAGTAGTCGCAGTCCCAAAGATCCTGCCAGTGGGGAAATTTTTATTTTTGATTGCTTAAATGGATGCAGGATGTCACCGTCATTTCTATTAATTGAGGAGTTTATCACTTAGTAATTGTGACACAATAAAATTATTGACTGCTAAAATAGGTGGTATGCTGGTATACTGAAGTGGGAAATGGCCTGAACCGTACCAAGAATCAGGTAATGCATTCAGGGTAATTGTCTTTGCACACAAAGGTTGAACACAGGTCCTTTTTCGTTAAAAGCAGTTCCTAATGAAACTTAACTGGGAAAGTCATTGAGTTCATTTTGTACAGATTGTTCAAACCCTGGCAGTGGTGGGGACTAAAAAATGAGTAAGCATACTTCTGGGTGATTTGGGGTGGTTTTTCATGGCCAGTTGTGTTTGAGGTAAGTCAACTGATATCTTAATAGGTAGGGCAGTCTCTACACTTCAGCCACAGCTTGAGCAAAGGAGACAGAGCTGTCTGTTGTGAAACCACTCTAAGAGTTCCAATAGTCAGGACAATGACTGGTAAGTAGTCTGTGCTTTATTGTAAAACTTTTGGTCAAGAAGTCTACTTACATCTAGGCCAGAATATTTTGCAAGGAAATTTTTATCTAGTATTGGTTTGCATGTATCACAGACAAAGTAATGAAGTAGATGGATCAATAAACACAGAATCAAAAAGTTTTGGTCCTAGTTCAAGTTTTGCTAATGATTCACTGTGTGGCTTTTGGCAAGTTGTTTTATTTTTGTAGGTCTCAATATTCTCACCTGTAATTAGGTGGGAGAGCTTAGAACTGATGGTCTTTACTTTCCTTCATAACAATGCAATGACTTGACTCTAGGCTCCTAGGTACCTGAGAAGAGTTATATATCATTAAGTGGTAAATAATAAGGCCATAGCATGAAAATTTAACTAAAGAAGACTTTCTGGAAATATAACCTAGATCATAAATGGAACCCAGTAAACTTTGTCAAGGGCCATTATATATCTTTCAGAATAATCTTGTCATGAGAACTCAACTTTTAGACCACAGGCAAATTTTTTGGTAAGCAATTTCCTTTTTTTAATGAAAAATACAAACAGCAAACAAGGAAAATAGCTCTGAAATCTGATTTCCACAATGACATTGTCACCTAATCACTATTTTTCAATCTTTCAAAACCAAAGTTCCCTTTGAGAAACCTAAAAATGTCACTACAAGGTTATCATGGACTTGCTTCCCTAGGAAACAGGCCCTAGACTCCTAGAAAAACCTACCCATTACATTGACATTTTCTGAGTACTATGTGTTCAACAGCTACAAAGATTTTATAGACCTGTACTTTCAACAGTTTATGTTATAAGAATGATTTTGATTCCCAAATATGTTTACTATAATAAGAAATATTCTTTTTTTCAAATGACTCATGCTTCCAAGCCTTCCACTTTAAGAATTATTATTTTAGTTCTGTTAACCATAGCCATACATTTTTGGGGATTTCCTAAACCCAGAAAAGTACAGGATCTAATCAAAAACCCATGGAGATTACTTTCTGTACAGGTAAAGGGGAAATGAACTAACATTTATTTAATGTCACTGTGTACCAGACATGAAAATAGGTCATTTCTTGTACATTTTCCATTTAATCTTTACAGCAATCTATGTTGCAAGGACTATGATCTTACTTTTATAAATGAGGAAACTGAAGGCCAAAGATATGAAGAAGTTGCTTCAGGCTAGTCAGCTGATAACTTGAGTTAAGATATGACCCCACTTCTGCCCAAAGAACCTGATTATTTCCACCTCCAAAATACTGTCCCAACTGCAAAACTATCTAATTAGGCCTCATTTCTAAATGATTAAAAATCTAATAAAGATGCATGCATGAAAGTTAGATTCAAACATTTAAGATTTTGTTTATGAATAGTCTAATTGCTTTAATTCATTTCTCAGGAGAAAAATAATTTTTACTTCCTCTAATTTATAGAAAAAATGTCTTGTCTAGACTTACAGAATATATACAAATCTTAGTGTTTCTGATATCAAGTGATTTAGAGTTGATTCTAATAAATTCAGGAAATAACAGAGTTCCAAATTCCAGTTGTTCTTTTTCGGCTGTGATTGTGATTGAATGAAGAGCACCATGGTCATGGTCAGACTGGCTTAGGTAATACATATGAGACTTTCATGGTTTAAAGAAGAAAAAGGTCAACTAAGGCAAATCAAGTTAGGTTCCCAAATGACTTGTAAAGGTTGTCCCTTAGGGAGTGGGAGGGCCCCCCTCAGAAACCTTTCCCTATTTGATTTTCCCTTCTCCTTCAAAGATGACAACCCCACATACTGGCCCTATTATCAAAGAAAATAAGAGACACAAATTTGATAAACATGTTCACTTAGTGTTATTAATGACTTAATGATGAGGGGTAAAAAGAGGGGGAGGACTGAGAGAGTGAAGATTTGTAGAGTTGTATAGGAAAAGAGCAGTCACCTTGATACCAGAAGCCTAGGTTTCACTCTCCTCACTCTGCCACTTGCAAACCTTATATCTTCAGGTAAATAAGGTCACTCTTTGAGCCTCAGTTTTCTGATCTGTGAGATGGGGATGATATTCTCTGACCTGATTATTCATAATATATACCTCTACTAATGATTAACTGCAATTATAGGTATAATAATGGTTTGTAAATTATAAATCAATAGATGGTTTAAGATGGTGGTTGCTGCATTAATAATGACAGTGGCAGTGCTGGTAGTATTATTTAGAGGCAGTGGTTGAAAGGGGTAATGCCCATAAAATAATAGCAAGTTAGGGCTGGAAGGTAGTTAAAAATCATGCAGTTCAAACTGTCTATTTTAATAATGAGGGAAATGAAAACCACAGAAGGTAAGAGGCCTAGCAGGGCAACAAAAGAACAATCTGATAGTTACTAGACTCTAAATGTCTTAGCTCCAAATCCAGTACTTGTTTCAACATATCCTACTGCTTTTAAGTCTTCCCCAACCTACAGCAAATTTTGTCACATTCAGCTCACTATTGTTATAAAGAAATTGTCCCAGTACTCTATTCACAGATCTGTTATGATTTGGGTTCATAGGCAAAACTTCCTAAAGATCCTTGGTTTTGATGCAATCCTACCCTGACACCTGGTAGGCAGTCATTGGCCATATATGCATAGATATACAAGTGCTAGAACTAGAACTGAGAATAATAGCTTAATCTTTGATGAACAGTCTTATCCATAGACATGCCACTTTAAAATAAATTTTTGTTTGTGCAAAACATTGTTTGTAAAAGAAAAGTTTTAGCTTTCTCTGCTCATAAACAGCTTCATTACAATGGAAATCATAATAGCTGACTTTGAGAAAGTTAATCCTGCTGAGCCTCCATTTTCTGGTCTGTAAAAGGAGTATAATAATAATTTCCTCAGAGCTCTTACAAGGATTAAACATAACATATGAATAACACTTGGACAGTGACTGACAAGATGCATGTGGAAACTTCTTGGACTTAGCATTTCACTGAAACTTAGAAATCTGGTACAAATTCTGATGACATAATGTAATTTCACATTTGTGAAATCTAGCATTTAGGTAGTTGGTTGGGAAGCAAAACTACCTTCGGTTAGATCTTACTGGCACCTCCTAAGTTTTTGGACTTAGCTCCACTGAGTCATATTTAAAGACCTGACATACCTTTATGTTCTGAGACAAAATTTAGTTATTTCCATGAAGTTAATGTTTATTTATTTATTTATTTATTTTTAAAGATTTTATTTATTTATTTGACACAGAGAGAGATAGCAAGAACAGGAACACAAGCAGGGGGAGTAGGAGAGGGAGAAGCAAGCTCCCCGCTGAGCAGGGAGCCCAATGCGGGGCTCGATCCCAAGACCCTGGGATCATGACCTGAGCCGAAGGCAGATGCTTGATGACTGAGCCACCCAGGCACCCCAAAGTTAATGTTTAATGACCATATTCCTACTTAAGTTTTGGGGGTTCCTGTTGGATTGTAAATAAAAATCTGGGGTGGCATGTTTTGGAATTCTTAGGTGTCCAGATTTATTAGACTCCAACCTTATTATCTTTGCCTTGACCAT